TACAATATATATTTTTGAAAGCATTCTTACTTTACAGCATTTTTCCACACCTGCGTAAAAGTTTTATGCAGTACTGTACCTCATCTTTCTCTTTTCTGGGCAAATAGTCACCATTCCAGAAAAAAACATTTTGAGTCAAAAAAGCATTCTTCTAGATATGATGTCAAAGGCTGTGTGTTTTGTAACAGTCCAGCTTCTTACTAAGAAAAATAGGTGGAACAGTAAGTCTGGTAGATGCCAAGAGACAGGTCTCAGGCATATTGGTGCTCATATATAGGTGTTCCTAACCACAGTGATGCCAAAACAACCAAACATGTATCAGGATGTTACACTAGCTCATGAATTGCAGTATCACAAACAAGTACCTATGGATGGAATTTGCATAATGATGTTGCAGCACAGATTGCACTACTTGCCCCTGTCTTGTTTCCTCCCTGATGCCTGTGTACCTATGAACTCTACGTGCCTATTCCTTTAATAAATAGTTCCAATCTTAGACAATCAATAAAAAAATGAAGGGGTTTTGTTTTAGCACCCCAAACTACTTGAAACAAAGGGGAAAATTTATTTTGCGCTGTCGACTATAATGTTTGCAGTCCTATAGGCCCATAATGAATGTTTAAATTAAATTGTTTGTGAATAGTTCTATGTAACTTGCAGCTTGAAACTTTGCCTTCAATTGGCAGTTCAATCCCTAGTACTTTTTATATGAGAGTAAATACCTATGTAGCTGTTTTTTTGTATTTATTTTTTTAATTGCTGTATGCCGCCCAGAGTCACCTTGTTACTCAGTTATACAGTATAATAGATATGCAATATATCTTTTCCACAAAGACATTTCTTAAAGTAAGGGTTTTTCCCCCCTCTATTGTCTAAATTAGGAGCGTTTTTTGTTACCTAACATTTCCAAAGTATAAATGTGAACCTTCTCCCATTCATCAGATCAGCTCCATTTTGAATGCATGAGTGAATATGGGTTTTACAACAATTTTTCAAGCACTGAGCCATGGAAGAAGATACAGTCACTTGGATAACTAATCAGTTTATTTTTTACAAAGCAACCAAATCTAATTTATTTATGTGCCCATCTGGGTTAAGAATGTTCAATTGAAGTTAAATTAGCTCTGATAGACTGCTACTGGCCTTTTCTTTCCCAGGAGAAGAGGTTGATAGACAGCTCTGCAGAGATGCTATCTATCCTGTCCCCATTGTCTGCGAAATTCCTTGCCCAAAGGACTGTGTTCTCAGCACTTGGTCTGGATGGTCCTCCTGCTCTCACACCTGCTCAGGGAAAACCACAGAAGGAAAACAGATGCGTACCCGTTCCATCCTGGCATATGCAGGTGAAGGTAAGGCCACCTATTAGCATTTTCAATACATGATCATGAATGTGTAATATTTTCTTAGGATTCATGATGAATGAACAAGGAAAACTAATTTCTCTTGTAATGTTTTAATATGTCTGTTACAGTATTGGCAAGGTAGGGTATACTATTTTCACTGTGATGTGCCATGTATTAATATGATTGTGAGATACAGCTTCTCTTAGCACTCATACAATATTTATGGAAACCAAGCAGCACAAGTTCCAAAGACTTTAGGGATACTTTTTGGTGCTTGGCAATAAAAAAACAATGCTTCTCATGTGACTCAGTTTTTCATCTGAGAACACTAGAAACTAAGTAAATTTGCATGTGATCCATAAAAGTGTTGTATAAAGTATGAAACCCATATCAATAATTTTTATCAATAATGTGCATAAGTAGCGTTTACTAAACGTGGGCCTTGGAGACCTCATAGTATTTATGTATTTTAAAAATCCTCCAAAACTATAACAGAATTTTCTTTTTTAAATATAATTTTTATTGAAGAAATTTTTAACAAGATAAAAACAATACAAATATTAGAAAAGAAACAAAGAAAATAACTTTTTTAAATATAATTTTTATTGAAGAAATTTTTAACAAGATAAAAACAATACAAATATTAGAAAAGAAACAAAGAAAATAAGGAAGGATAGTGAATAAAAAAGAAAGCAGAAAAAGAAAGGAAAAGGAAAAGATTATAAAGCAACGGTTTCTGATCTTTTTGACAGTGGTTATAAATGCATTTATATTTCATCCTCTCTTTCTAAGGTTACATCATAATTTCCTTCTCACAAGTTCAATTTTCTCTTTTTTCAGCAAAAAATTCATAATATGAAGTCACTGATAAATGTAGTTGTTCATCGTTCTCTTATCAAACAAGTTAATTTTGCCATCTCTGTTAGTTCTGTCATCTTCACCAACCATTCCTATCAAATGTGGGTGGGCTGTGGGTATTTCAGAGTCTTTCCATTTTTGTGCATATAATAGTCTGACAGCAGTAATCATACATAAAAATAATCTTCGATGTCTCTTTTCTAATTGACTATCACTAATCCCAGCAAGAAAAGTTCTGGTTCCAGTTGAATGTTGATCTTTAAAATTCTTTGTATCATTATATGTATTTGAACCCAGAAATTT